ATGGTAAGTACTTTACAGAATAACAAAAGACTCAAAAACACAGAGGATTTCCCCTCTATGCAAAACTTAAAGTTACAAAAACAGGGATAAACCTCCCTCTTAGCACAGGGAAAATTCACATGCTAAAACAAAAGATAACCTAATGCATTTCTTTCCTATTACTTACTATTTCTGCAATACTAGATGCTTAGTTCAGATATGGGGGAGCCTCCTCTCTCCCTGAGCAGACTGTCTCCAGGGCAAGAAGCTTACGCAGCTTCGACCTTCCTGGGTTTGACCTTGGAGCATTCAGCATCCCCTTCTCACACCGTGCGCTTCCCGCAGTGAGTCCGCCTGGACGGGGCTCCTGGGGAAGCCAGAGGGCCCTGCACCCCAACTCCACAGTCAGACGTGACTCTCAACCAGCATAAAATGGAAGGTTTATTAGTCGACAGGAACACAGCACAGAAACCAGTGACTTTCAGACAAGTCCATCTTGGGGGAATCCCGGGCCAGATGCCCTGGACCACCCCTCCAGCAGACTGCCCAGCTTCCAGCAACCTGACCTCAAACACCCTGGTTCCTCCTCCTGGTCTTTGTCTTGCTTCCCAGGCAAAGTGTCACCTGGTCGCATCCCTCTCCTGGGTCTCAGGTTACGAATGGCACAGGCCATACCCTACGTGCGGGCAGCCAGAGCAGTCTCACCTGCCCCCAAGGGTCTCATCCAAAGTCACACACCCTTATTCCCACCACCTATGCACTGGTGCAGCACACAGGGAAACTGAGGCACACACCGTATTCATGCAAAACAGTAAGACTCACATAGGCTCACATACAACATAACAAGGGAAAATCCTTCATCACATAGGGATAGGGTCTGTATTTGGTTTGAGCTTTGGCTTATGGTTCTGATGTCAAGTAGGGCTTGGGCTGGGATCCGGTTTGATGTATGACTGATGATTTGGGTTTGAAGTAGGGGTTGGACTGGGATCCAGTCTGAGATTTGGCTAATGGTTAGGGTGTTGTAATGGTTAGGTGAGTTGGCACCAGTTCGTGGTTTGGCTGATGATTCTGATTTGGAGTGGGGTTTTGGTGGAGATCTAATTTGAGATTTGAATGATGGTTCAGATATGGAGTAGGGGTTGAGTTTGGATCTAGTTTGCACTTTGTTTGATGGTTAGGGTATAGAGTAGAGGTTGGATTTTGTATCAGGTTCGAGGTTTGGCTGATGGTTCAGGTGTGAAGTTGGTCTTTGAATGGAGTCCAGTTTCAGGTTTGGCTGATGGTTCAGGTGTGGAGTAAGGTTTAAGCTGGGACCCAATTCGAGATTTGATTGATGGTTCATTGTGGAGTAGGAGTTTGGCTTGGGTACTGGTTTAATGTTTGGCTGACAGTTTGGGTTGGAGTAAGGGTTGGATTCAGATCCAGTTTGAGGTTTAGTTGACGGTTTGATGTGTACTAGGGATTGGATTGGGATCCAATTTGAGGTTTGTGTGACTGTTGGGTGTGGAGTTGCAAGTGAATTGAGATCACATTTGAGGTTTGTCTGACGGTTCTGGTGTGGAGTAACGGTTTGCTGAGATATGGTTAGAAGTTTGTCTGATGGTTTGGGTGTGGAGTACATTTTGGGTTTGGATTGAGTTCAAGAGTTGGCTCGTGGTTTGGATGTGGAGTAGAGATTTGATTGCAAGCCTGTTTTAAGTTTGGCTGATCGGATGTTGAGTGGGATTTGGGTTGAGACTGACTTCAAGATTTGGCTGACGGTTCAGTTGTGGAGTAGTCAGTGGTTTGGTATCTGGTTTGAAATTTTGCTGATGGCTCGAATGTGGAGTAGGGATTGGGTTGGGATCTGGTTTGTGATTTGGCTGATGGTTTGGGTGTGGAATAATTGGGTTCATATTCAGTTCAAGGTTTGGCTAATAGTTCAGGTGTGGATTAGAGGATTGGGTTTCAATCCAGTTTGAGGTTTGGCTGATAGTTCTGGTGTGGACGATGGGTTGGGATCCATTCTGAGATTTGGTTGGGGAGTAGGGATTGGGTTAGGATCCGATTCAAGACTTGGCTGACAGTTCAATTATGGAATAAGGGTTAGGTTGCGATGCAGTTCGAGGGTTGGCTGAAGGTTCGCATGTGGAGTATTTGTTTGGTTGAGATCCAGTTTGTGGTTTGGCTGAAGGTTCAGGTGGGAATAGTTTCATAGAATATCAGGGTTGGAAGGGACCTTAGGAGGTCATCTAGTCCAACCTCCTGCTCAAAGCAGGACCAATCCCCAACAGGAGTTGTGTTGGGATCCCTTTTGAGGATTGGCTAATGGTTTGCATGTGAAGTACGTTTTGGGTGAGGAGTAAGGGTTGAGTTTGGATCCAGTTTGAGTGTAGGCTGATGGTTCAGGTGTGGAGTAGGGATTAGCTGAGATACGGTTCAAGATTTTGCTGATGGTTCAGGTGTGGAGTAGGGATATGTCTGGGATCTGGTTGATGGTTGATTGATTATTTAGTGTGAAGTAGGAGTTGGACTGGGATCCAGTTTGAGATTTGGCTGATGGTTTGGATATGGAGTAGAGTTGGCCATGGGATCCAGTTTGAGAGTTGGCTGACAGTTCAGATATGATGTTGGAGCACCAAGCGGACTCGATACAGGTGCTTATAGCATTGCAGACGGAGCAGATCCGCGCCTGCCCCCCCTGCAGCCCTTGTCCCAAAACTCTTTCCTTTGTGCCCCCATGTCACCGCCAATCCACTTCCCCCAACATCCGGTTTCTTACCGCCACCAGCTGCCTCCAACACCTGTAGCTTCATCACCCAGCCCTGCAAACTACGACCCACTGCACTCAACCCCCATCACCATGCATTTTAGCCAGCCTGAAGTGCAGCACTCATTGCACGGCACTCCAGACAGGAAGGCTGAATATGATAACAGGACATACGCAAATCTGTGATTGTCCTGTTCCCCACCCTGCCCCTTCCCTCCTCCCATACAGCCAGGGCTGGCTCTGGCTTTTTTGCTGTCCCATTTTTTGGCCATTTAAAGGGCGTTGGTGCTGTCTGTATAGGAAGCTGGACCTGGTGGATGACAACATCCACACGATTATAGCCACGTGCTGTACCCTCCATAACATTTGTGAAGAGAAGAGTGAAAGCTTCACTCAGGCATGGAACTCGGAGGTTCAACACCTGGAGGCTGAATTTGAACAGCCAGAGACCAGGGCTATTAGAGGGGTGACACTCAAATTGAAAACCAGATCTCAATCCAGCATCTACTCCACAAGCAAACCATCAGACAAACCTGCAACCGAATCCCAAAACAATCCCTGCTCCATATCCTAACCACTAGTGAATCCTCAAACCAGATCCCATTGCAGACCTTACTCCAAAACCAAACCATCAGCAAAACTTCAAACCAAATCCCAACCCAGGTGCACCTCAAAACACATCCATCAGCCTAAACTCGAAACCTTGGGGTTTGCATGGAGTCTGGTTTGGGGTTTGTCAGAAATGTCTTTTGGCATCACATTCCTCAGACCAGTTCAGCCAGGAGCTGTGCATTTTCTTTTCTCTGCAGTACGAGCGAGAGTTGGCCCTGAAGCGGGAGCAGGAGCACAGGCCTGAGTTCATCCTCGTCAAGGAGAGCCTGAAGAAGATCAAGCTGTCTGGAGAAACAGGCATGAGGCAGACCTGAGGGGCAGGTGGCAGCGCCATCTCCTGGGGACTCTTGTAGAAGCAGTGGCTGAGGCATTCAGCATGAGGCCAGCACATTTTCCAGTGGTTCCCATCACAGCCCGCTTTGTCTGGTGCCTGCCCTAGCAAGTGGGAAATCATTAGTGACCTCAGAGAGGCTGACGATGGCAGAATGAGGGCAGGAGCAAGGGCCACCTCTTTCTGAAGAGAGCTCTGATGAACGACTCTCCAGCCACAATTCTAGACCTGACGCCTCTGGGAGGGAGGATGTGGGGATGGGGAGCCTGTGTGCAAGGGAGTGGGCTGGACTTGGCTGTTTATATAACAACCGCCCCCCCTCCCGGGTGTGTCACACTTGTAGTTCTGCAGACTGAGCTCATTGAACATCCCAGGGTCGCCTCTCATTCCTTCATTTCCCCTCACCAGCTCTGTGGAAGGGCCCAGAGAACCATCGACTGAGAGTCACCTGGTTACCTTCGGTGGCTGGCTGTCAGCTCCCTGCCACCACCAGCCTGTCAGCCACCCAAGCCCTCTCCTCCAGCCTAGGCCAGCCCTGATTTCACCCTGCCCATTAACACTAGGTGCACCCCAGGCCCCGAGTCCCTTCCAAGTGTTCCCCTGTGGTATCCAGCCCCCGACACTGGCTACTCACAGAAATTCCAGGTCCACTGCCCCCAAAGGAACCATGCACCTGAGGTTGCCAGTTTTGTCTTAAGCCTGTACCACACACAGCACTTGTAATAAAACAGAAGAAGGTCTATGTGAGATAGGATGGAGATTGTACTAGAGTGATGGAAACAAAATCATAAGACGCAAATCCGGGTCTGCACTTATCAGTAGTTCCCTTTCCTACCTAATCAGGCAGGTTCCCCCCAGTTCAGTCTGCTGCAGATCCAAACCTAAACGAGAAGACCAAAATTCCTCCTCGGTGAGTGGATCCAGAGGCCTTTCCCCATTCTCTGTTATACTGGAAACAGGCTTTTGTCTCTGTTCACAGGCTGGGTGAGGTTCTGTCTGTCGTCATGTTCCTTTTTACCTCCAAGAGGTTTCAATTGTTTGCCTTTGTCTCTGGTGCTTTTTCCATTGAAAGTTGTGGGATGGTGCAAGGCTGGACAATTGAGCCTTGTATTGCATCACCAACTCACCAGGGCAGGGGAACAGCTCCCTCCTGCCTGAACGGGCCAGCACTGAGACATGGTATCCCCTGGTGACTGACTTCTACTCCAAACCCACAAAGCTGCCTCTCAATATAATGACATTGTTCCTTAAATGTCACTCCTACAGACAGCTCACAGTGATTATGAATCTTGACAAGTGATGAGCTTTCGGTAGATACCTTACAGTACTCTTTATGGATAACTGTCCTTCAGGACGTGTGTTTGGTGTAGTGAGTTTGTGAGGTGAGAGCTCTTTGCAAAGAACAAGGGACCCTTTGCCACAGGGTCTTTCACATCTCCTCTGACATTGACGCAGTAGGGCTAGCCATTGGCTATTCAGCAGGGGTCAGTTCTGGGCTCTCTTTCCTGGACAGGGCATCCGCTACCACATTTTCTTTCCCTTTGAGGTGCACAATCTCCATCTCACATTCGTGCAGTGCTACGCTCTAGTGCACCAGCCTCAAGTTGGCACCAGTGGCCCTGTGCAGCCAGGCCAATGGAGTATGATCTATTAACCCCCTAAATTGCCTGTTGAACAGACATTTTCCTGGCTGCCCACACAATTGCATGGCACTCTTGCTCCTGGCCAGAGTAGTTTTGTTCAGTGGGGTCAGTTGTTTACGTAAGAGTGCAATGGGGGGTTTCTTGTTAATCTCCTCTGCCTGCACTAGAGTGTTGGTCTTGCACACATCTGTATGCAGCTTAAACACTCAGGCCTTGCCAGAACTGGCTTTTCTGACTGGAGGCACCTACTTTCTAACGTACCAGGGGGTGCATGACCCCCGCAGCTCTGGCCCTGGCCACACCCCCATTCCAGGACTTCTCCCAAGCCCCCACCCCTGCCCTGCCTCTTCCTGGCCCTGCTCCACCCTTGCCCTGCCTCTTCCTGCCCCATTTTGCCCCCTCCCCTGAGCACACCCAGCCCTTGCTCCTCCCCCCTCAGTGCCTCCTGCATGCTGCAGAACAGCTGATCCATGGCGGGTGGGAGGGGGGAGGTGCTGATTGGTGGTGCCGCCAGGGGGAGGGAGACGCTCGGAGGGAGGGTGGGTGCTGATTGGCAGGGCCACCAGGGGGAGAGAGGA